TGTGTGTGTGTGTGTGTGTTGTTGTGTGTGTGTAAGGGTTAGTTTGCGGCGGTAGTAACGTCTGTTCTGGTGCTGTAACCTTGTAACCTCTTGGGGGGGGTGAACAGTTGTGCTGAAGATTTCAACAGAAAAAGGGAGAACTTGTGCACAGAAGGGGGTTGCATTTGAGGGATTGCGCCATATGTGTGTCAGACCTGCAGACTGGTGGATGAATCTGTTCATGCATGTTCTCATGTGAATGAATCGATATCTGGCCGTGTATTTCAGTTCTCTTTTGATAGCATAACTTTATATCTGCTGCCATCTTTCCTGATTAAAAACATACTCATGTGCATGAGAGTCTCGGTATAAAACTAAGTTGGTAATTCATGCTGCTGATCTCCATCTGGTGTTAAATTTGATGGCGCTGACCGACAAATGCCACATTGCCATTGATGCGTATCAGTGGCTCCGGGCATGGAAAAGGTTTGAGTCTGCCATAAATGTGCAAAGCAATAGGGACAGAGGCAGAGAGCAGGTCTCTATCAATAAACTGGAGTATGCCTCACTCTTCAAAGACCATGTTATTAGGGTCCCAATGTAGAAACTGTTCCTAATGGTGCAGTCTCACTGGCAAAACTTCAAAAGTTGTTGAACCAGAAGTCCTTCACATGTAAAGATGTGGGCACACTGGTGCCAGATGCCTCATACCGTGTCAAAAACAGGAGTTGTAATTAAGGAATCTCTGCTCTAATTAATGGTTTAATGCTTTCGTTTAGAACTGTATCCGTCTGTTAATGAAAAGAATTCAGCAGCACACATGCACCATTTGGTGAATAGACTGATGATTTGCTTTTAATAGCTCAGGATGAGGCTCTTCTTAATGACACATGGTGAACTGTAAAAGTGGGTTCCTCTTTGTGCAACATGTGCTCACACCTCCACCCGCTTTCCTCATGGATCCCTCAGTGTTTGTGTGTGCATATTATATGATTTAATGCATACAATATATGCTAAACTACACTTCTGCCCACACAGCGGATGGAAACTCACCGACTCAGAGGGTCTGGCGCCAGTCAGAGGTGCGTAGACCACCCGGTACTGCTGGACCGGGCCCGTGGCAGCCTCCCAGCGAACGTTCAGAGTGTTGGTGGTGGGGTTGAAGACCTGGATGTTCCTGACGGGGCTGCGCTCCACTGCCAAGCCAGGAATGTAGAGGCAGACGTAATGGTGAGGAAGTGAAAGGTCGGGGTGAGGGTCAGGGTAAGGTAAAAGGGGAAAAAAAAGGGGTGGAAAGTGGTGAGAAGCGTGATGACAAGGAAGGTGGACAGAGAGGAAACAGTGATGACAAGGTGAGGTGAAAGGTTGGTGACATGAGTGGTTTGTGCAGATTGGACAGATAGATGGATGAGATCACAGACAGGAGACAGAAACAGAGAGATTTTTTTAGTTAGGTACTCAAAAACACTTATAATACCACTATACAGATACACTTATTCCTAGTTTTGCTTTATTATTGATGCTTTTTTATCCTGTAAAGCTTCTTAGCAGACACTTACAAGACTCTACATGTAACCTTTGTGAATCTCCTGAATAGCAGTGCTGCCATTCTTTGTCTCAACTGAAAAAACATGGTCTAGTTGTGCAGACAGCCAATGGCCCAATGAATACATGAGAATGTTTCAATAAAAACAAGAACAATACTCTTAGCAACCGACAGATGAGTTTAAGGCTTTATTTAACAATACAGCTATTAACAGGACACTTCCTGTCAACGCTCTCTCGGTTAATGAAAAGGAAACACAAGGCATATGTGTGGCCCCGTGTGAAGCTCGCCTTCTAAAAAAGCCAAAGCAGATGTTTAGAGGCTTTATGCCGCTCCCCATTATAAACCTATAAATTCAAAGGGGGGGGGGAAACGCAGTGAGCTTCCTCACTGTTAAAGTTTCACTGTTGCCCGAGGGGCTGCTTTGAACTTGGAGGCATAATTAACCATCAGCAATTTTGCGATGGTAGAGCTCAAGTGGTGGGAGTGTGATCCTACATTAAAGAGGATAAGATAAATGTAATTTTCAACAGAGGAAACAATGCTATGAGGTCAATAGGCTCTGATATACTGTACATACTGTATAACAGTTGTTGGGTAATGCGTCCGGGAAAAGACCAATAAACATGAGGCACCATTGCCATGGAAGGGAAAGTGGGGGTAACAGTAGCAGCCATGGAGCATGACCCCAGCCAAGCGAGTTGAGAGCCATCAAACATATAATGCTCTTCATTCATCCCCCCCCCCCGTTTCTTTTTCCCAAAGGGGAGCCAATTCCTCAATGTGTCCCCCTCCCCCCATTATCCCAACCACGACCCTCCGCTGCAACCTATAAATGGAGAACATTATGGTAAAAAGAAAGGAGACACCATTATAGTGCCGCCAACCCGGAGGAATTCCTTCCTACGCAATCGCCCCCGCAAAATGCTGACTCACTCCCGGCAGAGGTTGGTGGTTTGAAACGGTGGGAGAAAAATGAAAAAAAAAATGCTGCTGTTTAAACTCACTGCAGCTGATGGAGCTTAGCGCTGTCGTTATTACATATGTTGTATGTTACATTTTACATGTAAGGTGTAGATTGAGTGTGCACGAACGGCGTTTGATCACAGATTTAAAAAAGCCTTGGATGATTTTATGAAATAAATAATAAATGACTGGCTGCCTTTTGTGTTTAGGTGTCTGAGGAACAGCAAAGCCAGCAGCCGAGGTCAGTGAGTTCATTCTGGACAGACATGAATTGATCCTGACAGTTGAAAAAAACCACGCCACTGTCAATCTCTTCTAAACCGTGAAATCTGTCTTCTAAGGTCGTCTCCACTGCATCTAAATGTCACTTTACTAACTTCTTATCTACATCAGTTAACCATATGCATGCAGTGCTTACATGTTTTGCCGTTTTCCGACATGCGCTGTCCCTCGCCAGCGGAGTAGACAGGAACCACAGATGCGGTGTAGACAGTATCGGACTGTAGGTTCTTCAGCACAGTGCTGTAAGTGCTGCCTGATACCTGCACCTAGATAGAGCAACAACAAGACGTGCATCAGTTTGTGTTTGGGCCCAAAGAAAGCTCTATGCATGGTGGAGAGCTCTTTTCCCAGCTCACCATCTCCTCCTCTCCCCCAGCTGCAGGAACATAGAAGACCCGATACTGACGAACGTTGCCCTCAGCAGCCTCCCACTGGACATTCAGGGTGCTGGTGGTGGGGTCAGTGACCTGCAGGTTCCTAACGCCACCCAAAGGTTCTAAGGTAATATAAAGGTATGATACAGTTAATATTGGTGACATAAGATACCAAAGCTTTTATCACTTTTCATTGGGGGAGAATCTTTGGTGAAAGACAACTTACTGGTCTTTCCGACACCGTTAAGCTCTTCGCTGACTCCTCGGGCATAGACAGCCACCACAGTGATGGCATATTCGGTGTCAGGGGTCAGCTTGGGAAGCAGGACAGTGGTCTTCTTCCCTCCAACCTGGGTCTAGTTGGTGAAGAGTACATGTTAGCCTCATTGGCTGATAACTCGAAAATCAATTATTACCGTTGCCAAGGAGGCTTTGTTTTCATTCAGATTGTTTGTTTATTTGACTGTTACCTGGACAAGGCAAAAAACTGTAGAACAGATTTTTTTTTTAACTTTATGGAAGGGTGGGGTATGGGCCAAGGAAGAAACCATTACATTTTGGAGTGGATCTGGACAAAGGGGCGAAAGTTTGATCATTTTCCTCAACTCAATCTTTTTTTTTTGCATTTTCACTGATTTCCCACAGAGTAATATATGGATCTTGATAACAATTATTAGGGAATTGATATCAATCAGTGTGGGCTGGATCTATGGTGAATTTAAATGTGGTTTCATGAGAGGACTGTTGCGTTATGTTGACGATGCTGTAAAATGGATGTGAACACTTGGTGAAGACAATGAATGGAGACATAATGGATTTAGATACTTAAACAATAGTTAACTAGTTTAGTTAGTCAGTTAGCTGTTCTTTCTCAAGCTTTTTAAAATTTCCTTCACTGACTGTAGCTCCATCGACCATCTGCAGCTATTAGGGAAACATTTTTTGATTTGTTTTGACACAGAGATAAAAAGTTAAACAACTCTCCATGTGTTTGTTGAATTGATGTCACTAACTTGATGGAAAGAATTCTACCGGAAAACTACCGGACTGTCAACATATCAGAGGAGGAATGCTTTGAGTGTTTTTGGACAGGGTGAGCCACCAGCATACTGGCCAAGGTAAATGTGTATGCTGATGGCTAAAACAGCAGGATGTCTTGTCATTAGGAGCCATGACTGGTGATGAATTTACAACATTGCTTTTGGCTTGAGCTATAAGGACTGCAGATATAATTCAAAAAGAGATTTGAGAGTGTGTTTGCATGATACAGCTCTCTTAAGCTTTCTCAATCAACCGATTTATTCTTTTTAACAGCAATGAAATAGAAAGCGCAAAGACAGACGTTTGATCCTTTGGCCCGATAGTTTTCTTGTTCACAACATGTGCAACATGTGCGTCAGAAATTCCCAAAAACAGACAAAGTAATGCAAAACAGCCTGGGCTAGCTGCCCTTGTTTTAATCCTGACAGTGAACCGAGAAGATTTGGCTAATATTAGCTTGTTATCCTCCAGTTTTCCATCCACCTTTCATTCTGATATCAGCCATACAATCAACACTTTTACATTTCATCAAGTACTGAAGTGGAAAAAATTCCATTTTGTGTTGAAAGCGAAGCTAACTGCCAACAAGATAAAGCTGAATATTGCATAAAAAATCTGACTGTGAATAATAGGGACAGAAAAAGCTCAATGGGCCAGGGTGTACGATTTACAATTTTGTGGCATAAATCTAATTGAGTACCTCTTCCCTAACCTATGGTGACCATCTGGTAATGGCCCTCGCAGAAACCAGTGTTTGGTTTGTCTGTTCTCAGTCTTTGAGCCCATCGCCCCTAACTTCTGATGACAAATTAGTCTCTGGGGGCAACAGCCAATATTTTGGGGCTTCCTGTGTAGACACTGGATATCTGGGCCAAGACAGCTTCCTCCCTTTGCCATACACTACTCACAGTCTAACTACTTTCTTTATCACAGGAGTCCAAGGTTTCTCCACACAAAATATGAGCAGTAATACTTTTTGTAGGTGTTTTAGGTCCAGACAACAGGTTATCTAATCTCTATTATCAGCTACCTGCATATGAATGCAGAGCAGATACATTTCGGAAAATGTGTATCACCTCTTTTTCTCTCTCCCTGCAAGCAAACAGAGCCTGCTCGAACATGATTGGTCTAACTAGAATCCATGAATTAGAAAAACCTTCCAGCCCCCTAATCTTGTCCTTCACCTAAAAATTCTGCATATTCACATGCAGAATCTGGTTATAGAGATTATTCTGTTCTTGGTTACTATAGAAACATGGCAAAACTACATGGCTCTGTTCATTTTTAATAGATCCCTACGAATCCTACTCACTGGTGCTTTAAATTTTACCTGCCTCCTCCACTATAACATATGTTGGCTTCCATCTGGGCTTTATTAAAAAAGAAACAACAAAGAAAGAGGTTTGTCAGCACAGTGGCTTTGTGCAGCTCTTTAAACACAATTCTCACTAAACATACACTGACCTGACTTGGCACATGTACTCCATGTCCCAGCTTTTCACAGCTGATCAAATAGCACACACTGCATGTGGACCATTACAGCCCAGTGCAGAGAAATGTTTGATCTCATAAGTCTCCCAAACAAGCTGTTAAATTATCAGATGTTACAATTGTATCTCATCTCCTCACATTAAGGGTGAAATATAGCTGCTAAAGTTGTTGGAACATTCAACATTAATTTAAGTGGTTGTTTCACAGCTTGTCATTGTGACTATCAGGCTGCAACCTTGTTTAAGAGTGTGTAAAAATGCCTTACAGCACTCTGGAGTCTCGATTTTAAGTCTTGCTCGTAGAAGCGATGAGAAATGTCTGACAGCAAATTGAAACCAAACATTCAGCTGTCCTTTCCAAAAAAGACTTTTGCATATTCAGAGAGGCAGCCAAAAATGCATGACCAGCAGGAGACTCAAGTATCAGGAAATACTAGGAAGGGGTTTTGTCCACATTAATGCCACTATTTCCAAACAACAGATTAAGAGATTTTACTCAGAGTAAACTAAAATAATGCAATACTAGTAGCAGATGTTTAGTTAAGTGTATATTTCTTGGAGGCAAAGCTGCTCTGGTGGAAGAAACAAATCCACTGACTGAGTAAGCATCTTTGTCAGGCCAAGTAATGCAAGACTGAAGTCCAGTGAAGACGACAAGGAGTAAGACGGAGGAGTAAGTAAAGCTTACTGGTGGCTAATGACGGAAAGATTTAATCGAGATGTGCAAACGTTTCAGCATTTACCAGATCAGATTTTCTGACATTTCACATTAAAGTAGATATACAATTCCATACTTACTGTCTGGGTCCTGCCTCCAGCTGTGGGGACATACGTGATCCTGTAGTTCTGGACGCGACCTGGAGCTGGATTCCACCTGGTGTTCATACTGGTGGTGGTTTCGTTGAACACAACAAGGTTGGTGGGAGGTGCATTGGGGGCTGGGAAATGCACACACAAACCGATATCGTAATTACAACCTTGTTAATCAGTCATAAGCACATTCACTCCATGGATTTACATAAAAATGTCTTTTAAAGACACTGTCCTTGATATTTTAGTCAGTCTATGTTCAACTGTGTATTCTTAGGCTTGAATGATTCACTTCATTGACATATCAGTTAATTTACTTCTCATACTATAACAAACAGGTCTGTCTCATTTGTATCAAGGACTGTGGCTTTAAGAGAAGAAAAGACAATCCACCTCTGGGGTTTTGTCTTTTCTGAAGCATGGATGGATTCTGTTGAACAGCCATGGATTGATGGAAGGATGGATGGACTGATTAATGCATGAATGAAGGCAATGAATGGATTGATGGATGGATGGTGGAACAGATGATGGATGATGGAATGGGCTGCAAAAACAGGGATGCAAATCTCTGTTTTGCAAGGCATGCACAATTGAAATCCAGTTTTCTGAGTCATCAACAGCCGTGGGTTGAATGGCATGGACATTGGGACAAACGGATGAGGACAGACAAACACGCGATGAAACCAGATGTTTCAGCTGTAGCATCATTGGAGCAGTGGATGGGTTAAGGGTATGGCTTGATGATGAAATGATGCTTGTCCAATGAACAACATAGCTTATGACCACATGGATGATAACACATGCTTTCTTTGCTTGGAAGGAAAAGCATCTTCTTGCTTTACCACAAATATACTTACCTGCGCTACCACTTTGTCTGGACACTAAAGAGGCAGAAATAGAAAGGTATAATGGCCATACCGTTCACTGAACATGTCACTCAGCATATTTCCAGAAGGTTAAATCAAAAGTTAAATCAGTTTATTGCCTTGGTTCAAGAGCCAACACTGAGTCTATCAAACAGCTGAGGTATTAAAACTGGATATAGTCGTCACAGAGCTGCTAGATCTTACATGTTCTCTCAGTGCCCATCAGATCCTCGCTCTCTGATTCATCTGGGTAGATGGCAGTGACCGTCACGTCATAGGGCGTGTCTGGCTCCAGGTTCTCCAGGACGTGGGTAGTCTCATCGTTGTTCAGAATGGACTGATGAAGAAAACATTAACAGATCACGTGGGAAGGTGCTTGACTACAACTTAATCCAATACAAACAAAGGACACAAGATCCATTTTAAAGTGATTGTAATTTGTTTGGTGCAGCAGTCAGTTTTTTTTCTGTGGGACTCATCGTTTTGAGGACTGAGGACAGCTGCTTTTCTCTTACATATTGGAAGTTGTTCTCTCCCTTCTTTGTCCAGCCAATGCGATACAGAGCAACATCGGGGGCTCCGTGGTCCCAGGTGGCCCTGAAGCTTGTCTGGGTAACCTCTGAGAATCGTAGGTTCTTTGGAGCAGGAACCACATCTGCAGAGAAGAGGGAGGGAAGTTAGTTAAAATGACTGCAAGTCCACATCCACTTTGCCATCATATAATACAACATATCTTTGTCTGTTTGTCTGTATGTGTCTCACATGTCTCAAGAACTGTTCATTTTATCGGCTTCATACTTGGCATGTATACTTTTAAACGCCCAAGGAAGTACAATGTCAGATTTAGTGCGATTTGGACACACAATACGTCTTTGTGTGCTGCTTCAACAATAAATCTGCAACTAGCATTACCACAGCCTACGCAAACAGCCCATTCCAAACAGGCAAGTTCAGAACGGACACTGCACTAGTTATAATCATTTTCACTTTTACCTGTGATTGCGTCTCCCAGCATTGGCTGTCCAGTGGTCTCGTCATAGATCGGAGTAACAGCCAAAGCATACTCGGTCTGTGACATCAGGTTGTCCAGTTGTTTGGTGGTCACATCTCCTCCAACTTCCAGCTGTTAACATTTAAACATGTTTGTTGTAAAAATGTTATCAAATCAATACAAATACACAGAGCTTCTTTATGCAATTTGAAAGTAGAAAAGACTCCATATGTTTTCCTCTTCAGACAGATGTTTGCCAGATCTTGTGAAACTTCAATTCCGCTCTGAGTGTGCGTTTCCAGGAGCTTTGGCGACAGTGGTAATATTCACCTAATAACACTTGGTTGGAAACTTGACGAGAAGGTATAAAACTGTGCTTGATCCAGAGGAAAATGGGAAACAAATAGACACTCAACAAACAATAACAAGCTGCAGAATTTGACTGAACACCAGGAATACTTACAGGAAATACCACACTGCTTTTACTGCTCTAGATTCCATTAGGTTTTATTAGCTTAGCCTCAAGAAATAAAACTAGAGGGAAACATTTTCGATACCAATACCAGCTGCTGTATGGATGTGTGATTGTTTGCACTCTCATTTTCATTATAAACAGACACTTTATTAGTCTCTAAGTACCAAAAAAGCATGCAGAGGGCTTCAGCTGGTGGGGATATGTCCTGCAGCTTGTGCTGTGAGGGGCACACTGTCACTTATTAGGCTCTATCACTTAATATAAAGGTCAGACATGACGTTTTACCACTCTCTGGGCAACTACTGACGATCACATCCTCAGCCCATGAGTCACTTTCACATGTGTGTTTCCACCAAAGGGGTTTTGAGGATCGCCTCAATCTGATTTATAGCTAAGGAAATGGCAAATGAGAGATCTTAAGAGTTTGCTGCCGTACCCCAATCCTCAATCTCTACAACCACCAAAAACACCCTTTAATCTCTCACCATGAGGGACCAAGTTTGGATAGTTTCATGATCTATTCTGGACTCCAGAATATTCCCTGACGCCCCCACCCCCCTGCCAGCTGCAGTCTCCATTATGTGGTCCAAGCCAAAACTTTGAAGGATCAATCAAAATAATATCTAAAGAAGTTTATCACCATCAAACCAAATGGCTCAAACAGACATTAGAACAGTCTCAGTGTAGTGTAGGTTATGTAGGAAATGGATTGGTAAAACATTGGCTGCTAAAAGCCTGTTTACATTTTTTTTTGTTTTAATGGGTTTCAGGACGTGGGGAAAGGGAAGCAACACAGTGGTGGAACTAAACTTACCTCTTTAGCTTCTCCATCCTCAGGCTTGTAGGAGATGAGGTACTTGCGAACAAGACCAGGAGCAGCATCCCAGTAAAGCCACATGGTGCTGTGGGTGACATCACGAACCCTGAGTTCGCCTGCAGGTGGTAGGGGCACTGAACGAGGAGCAGAAAGTCAGTGTTAGTCTCTAGACAGGTTGATATTTAAATGAATGAATGTTAAAGACAGTCCTGAGTTCACAGTGGCCCCAGTGCATCTACATTATCGAAATCAACTCATGATTGAATGACCACATACGTGTGACTCCCTGCTTGGTCAGTGGTTCGCTGGCTGATTCTCCGTGCAGGGCAAAGAGGGACAGCGTGTAGGCCGTGTTGGGGAGCAACCTCTCCAGCTGGACGTCAGTTGTGTCTCCTCCCACTCTGATCTGGAAGGGGGAAGCAGACAAAAAAGACAACATGAGGTCAGAGGGGAGCTGGATGACAGGGACCGCTCATTGTCATGGAGAGAAACATTTGGACAAGAACATTGAGATAAATGATCTGTTGCTGAATCTGGTTGTGACCCACTGGGTTTGACACCTCATGAACAAATGATGATGTTCCCTTGTCAGAGTGAGCTCATGGTTCGCCCACCCCTTCGTGACTAACAGTGTTCCTCTGTGTTATCCCTTCTGCCTTGTCTGCTGAATGGTGAGGCAAACACTGGCCACTTTGTAATGTGGTATTTCAGTGTGTGACTTCTGTGTTTTGTCAAAAAACTGCTGACAGCAGGTTGCGTTTGGTCCCATGTAGCGTTTAGCAGCGTGTTTACGAATGCATGCATTTTTTCCCCCACACGTTTTTTCCCCCACATGTAAACACATCATATCCATAGCTGATTGGCTGCGCGCATTCTTACCTCCTGCTCAACGGTGGGCTCTGTGGCGTTGATGGCGCTGTAGAGTAGCATGTAGCCCGTGGCGCCGGCTGCCTGCTCCCACCTCACCCGCATGGTAGTGATCTGTTCATCGTAAATGTCCATCCTCCTCACGGCACTCAGGGGCACTGGAGAAAAAAGCAATTATGTTAAACATACACACATGTGCTCACAGGAATACAAACTGTAGATAGTCATATTTCTGTTTCCTTGTTTTCTTTTATTTCAGACAATTTCTCAGACTTATCAATGCTGTTTTATTTGTGCTTTTATAGCTGCTATGTAACACTATTAAATCTCTGCTACTTGAGAGAGCACCAGTAAAACAGCATAAAGAAGGAAGTCAGAGTTAGACACCAGTGTTACCATGTAAACTGCCTCCAACTTTGCATTTACTTAAAGTTTAAGATATATGTATATATATATGTGGCTAAGTCAGAGGGATTCAGAGGCAGCAGACCCAAAGAGAAAAGACTCATAAAAGTAAAGGCTGAAGTGCGAAAGAGCCTTTCGATAAATTCTAGGATGTTGAAAAAAATATTGCTCGATTGAATTCCAGGGAACTGTTTGGCATTGACGGGTGACTGCATTCAGGTGAAATTGTAATTGTTACATAGTTTATTTGAGGTAGTTTATATTATATAAATGATACAGGTTGAGAAGTAAGTCAAAAAAACTCAGGAAGAGAAGACATACATGTTGTCTCAGTTCCTTTAAGAGGCTCGCTGCTCTCTTCTCCGACCAGGGCATAGACGTTGACCAGGTACTGGGTCAGAGGGTTGAGTTGCTGGAGGACCACCGTGGTCTCAGTGCCGTCCACGAGCAGCTATTGACAAAGGAAGGAGTTAGATGAATGTAGCTGCAGTAGCGAGCTGTAGTTTAAAGAGTCAAACCTTTTTGATAAAGTTTACATGTCTGTAGATATTTTCTCAAAATAAAAGGGGGGGGGGTTGTTGGGGAAGCTCTAATTCATTTAGGAGCAAAATAATCAAAAGCTCTATCTGTTTACCAGATTTACTACAAGCTTCCAATTAAAACCAGAAAGCCCTTTGACAAATTTCTACTGACCTAAATCTCAACATGTGCCTCAATCCCAGATGCATAAACAATAATAAAACCTCAACAACTGTGTTCACTATTAAAACCATGGGAGCTGGACAAAAACAAACATCTACTGTGTGTAATGAGATTCAGACACCAAAAACGTATCTTGCCACACGTTGTGGAGCCAAGACCCTGCTGGCCAACAGGGCTACCACTCATGTGGCCATTATTTGCGTTCTAATCTTCTAAACTAAGAGCTGTGTGTGTTTTTGTTTCCTTGCCCCGAGTCAGATCGTAATGTAATAAGACACTCACACAGCGAGACGCCAACACAAACAGGATAGACGTGCGAATGGAGATTCCCATTTATACCCACACAGGAAGATGAGCTACGCATACTGCTAATTTTTGTGTGATTGGAATGGAAGACATTTTTTGGAGTTGTAGCACATTATGGCATAAGATTTACCTGCAGTGGCTGTCCTGACGCAGTCATGTACTCCACTCGGTACCTCTCCACTGGGCCATCAGGAGCGGTCCAGGAGGCTCTGAAGGACTGGTGCGTCACTTCGGATGTCACAAGATCAGTAGGAGAACCTGGTGCTCCTCCAATTCAGGTGTATGTACAGAAAGATAGAAACTAAAATATGGGCCATCACAGTGATTATTATACATTGTTAGTCGTTGGATTTCTTTGGAAATCACCAGAAACCCCTCGTCAGTAGGCCAGCCAATAGTTACACATCATTGTGATATCATGTGATGTCACAGAGGCTGACAGGAGGAACTGCAGCAATGGAAAGTCAGGGAAAGTGATTTGTTTTCTGAACGTTAGAGCATGTAAATCATTTCAAGTATTAACACAAATTAAAATTTCTGAATATGAGAAAAATATGTCTCCTTTAATCATGAAAGAGCGAAAACAAATAAAATGTGGCCACAGATAAAACTTTGATTTGGTAAAAAGTTCTAAAGGAACCATGTCCACATCAAATTATGGAATAAGATTAAAGCTGCGTCCCCCAAGAGGTTCCCCAATAGGAGCTCTTTGATTTGATTAAGTCCTATTCCACAGAGGCAGGAATAATAGTGGATGAAGAAAATAACAGATCTGCAATCATTTTCAAGAGCTCAGCTGGTTCTTAGCTTTTAGTGTTGCCTTCCATGGTGGGCCAGACATTAACTGTCTGTGGGTTTGGGATGATCTACTCTATGTTTATACTGCATATCAAACTGTCTGGGAGCAGAGCAGTTGGTGTGGACGATCCTGTGTGAAGTTATTGATATTATTCACAATTTAAACCCATCCATACCTGGTCCCTTGACACTGTTACAGAGGTTCTCTGTAAGATTGTCCACAATGTCCAACAGGAAGGAGAAGTCAGCTACGTTGTACATGTGAATTTCATCTGGATCAGTGGCAATGGACCTCAACTCGTTCTCATCAGCATTCTTCACACCTAAACCGCAGTGATAAAGTCGATAGCATTAGTAGCTTGCACCACATGGAAATCTTAGATCATATTATTAGTCTGCAAATAAAGGGAAGTGAATTACCGACGGCATAAAGCTCAATGGCTTCATCACGCAAGTTCTGAGAGTTGACGATGACGTCGTCCTGGGATTTGCCGTCAGTGATCAACACGCCGATCCTTCGAGCGTTGGGTCGCATCCCGACGTTCTCTTTGAAATTGTTCTGGAGGATGTAGTTCAAAGCCAGACCTGCAATGGAGACAACAGGCACTCATCACACTGATTCCAAAGTGAGACAGAGAAGCTGTGGTGCTGCCACTATTAGACTGAATAGATTGAAGTACCAGTTAAGGTGTTTCCGCCTTTGTAGGGCAGGTTAGCCACAGCATCCAGGAGGGAGTCCCGAGTACTGTGAGCATTCAAGTGCCATTCAGTCTTGGGGTCTCCACTGTACTGTGCAAGACCTGTAGACACAACAGCTGTTAGACCAATTCAAAAAGACCAATTTTCATATTATTGGTTGTAAGCAGTTGACCAATACACCCACCAATTTGGACCCTCTCTGGGCCGATATCAAAGACTCCCACCATACGGGAGATGAAGGCACGAATAGTCTTGAAGTTGAGGCGTCCAATACTCCATGAACCATCCACCAGCAGCACAATATCGGCCTGTGCAGTGGTCTTGCACGTCACATCTGAGTGGCAGAAGTGAATGTGTCATCATGTGCAGAGGGGAAAGATGTAGTTCAACTGTCATGTGCACAATAGGTGTGGTCTGAATTATAATGGTGTGGAAGATGTTCAAAGAAATGTGAGAGTAAAGGGAAAGAGGGAAAGAAAGGTTCATGACACCAAAAAGGACAAGGACATCAAAACTATTTCTACAATCTTAAACACTCATCTCCAGGAATAAGCAGTAATCATCTAATTTTCTTCCTCTCAGAGGAATTTGTCATGATTATTATCTTCTTGTCTTGTGGCATGTGGAGACAGTATTTCTCTCTTTCATCCCAGAGGGCAGATCAGGAATAATACGCCCTTAGTGCCCCATGACATATCACAGGGCCTCCACTGGAGAGCGGATGAGTGTGTTCTCCAGAGCTGCAGGGTAATATTCAGATCCTGTTTTCCAACACACAGCTGCGCGGCGACATGGTAGGCATCTGATCCTCAGCACCTAAAAGACGGCTGCAGATGTGCAACGGGGATAGATGTTGCACTAACTGCCACTGTCTGCAACTGAAAACAGGTTATATATTTGATTTACACATTGGTTTGCTTAGACAGAAAATCCAAAGTATAGTCGCTGCAAAAGAGGACCAGCTGTCAAGCTTACAGAGAGAGCGTGTAGAGGTACGTTGGGTTGAATTAAAATTAAAAAGGGGACAAATTACACAAAGTTACGATGTGGTGTCAAGATGATTTTCTTATCTATCTATTTATTCCAGAAATCTGTGTCAGTCTGAATGTGGCTCTCATGTCCCATATTCTCAATTTATTCTCTGTATTAGTGAAATTAGGACAAAAAACTAAATTTAAGATTTTTGCCACACCCACAACTGTCTTCTGTCTGAGAACTGTACTGTAGCCAATAGACAGTACAGGAAGATTAATTTTTTGCACGTGAATGTGCATCTCCCTCCCTATTAAGACTAGGCCTGCAGCTGCAGCGGTCGAGCTGACCTTTTCCAGTTCCTCCCATGCAATCACGAACATTTTCCTCCTCTCACTAACTGCACCAACTCACAAGGTAGTAAAACATTTTCTTACTGCAAACAGATTATAAGCAAATGGCTCGATTCTACACTGGCTGGAAATAAAAAGCGGAAGCCCAAAGTGACACAGTAAAGATGGGCCAGAGGGGCAGACAGATGGAATTGCCATTACATCTGTTATTTTGTGAGACAAAATGCTAAGAGGAAAGGCATTCAGAGAAACTCCTTAGCTTTTATGGGGCATGGCTATAGAGAGCATTTTTTCCAAAGAAATAATTTACAATGTGATTCAAACGGGAGAAACTACCTTAATGGTAATAACAGGCATAGCAATTGAATAACTGATAGCAGAATAAAGAATGAATAAATTACAGTAGTTCATGTTCTTGTTGGCTTGAGAATAATGTTTTCTGTTCTCACTTTCATAATAAAGTACATTATTTTGACGGAAAACTTCACCTGTTGGCACATAAGGTGGAGGGTCGGGTTCGTCACTAAGAGTGGTTTTCTCCTCTCCAGCCAACGGCATACTCTCTCCTCCATCAAACATACCAAACACATTCACTGTGTATTTGGTACCAGCTCTGCAAACCCAAAAAAACCGATTTTTAAAAATGATTTTTACATGATATATCAGAAAACATTGTTTGTAAGATGAAGGGAATGAAAATGAGGACACACCTCAGCTCCTCCAGCACCACAGTATTGTCGTAGGGGCCGACTTGGAGTTCTCCCAGGTCGATATCCTCCCCTGAAGGGTGGAAAGTGACCTTGTAGCCCTTAACGTCGCCGGGAGCATGATCCCAAGTGACACGGAAGCTGGTCTTGGAAGGCTCAGATGTTTGGAGGTTCCTAGGACCTTTGAATGGTGACACTGGAGAAAAGAGTATAGTTTAGTTGAATGACTAAATGAGCAACAGGAATATTCAAGTTAAACTAAATACTAACATATACTTTAATATTGACTTTTAGTATGAGATGGTTATGACTGGGATGAGAACAGGATTGAGGCAAACAGAGGCAGACAGAGCACCATTAGTGTTGGTGTGATTAATAATAGACTGACGTACGTGTTGTTCCCTCTCCTTGCCTCGCTCTGCCCTCTCCGGAACGGTAGACGGGCAGAACAGTGATGTCGTATGTGGTGAGGGGAGTAAGGCGTCGCAGCACAGTGGTGGTAGTGCCACCAGGCACCTTAGCTGCAACCTGGCGCCCTCCAACTTGAGGTTTGTAGGTAACACGGTAGTTGAGCACATTTCCAGGTGCCGCCTGCCACGCCACCTTCATGGTCTTCTCCGTCTCCTCAGAAACTACAATCGCTCTGCCTGCGGCGGAGACTGCATAGAAGGGGGGAAGGGTGAAAAAGGTTAAAGGAGGAGAAATGATGAATGACAGGTCGGGGGGGAAAATGTGGACTTTGGGCTTCGTTCAGATGGGAATCTGTGCTAAATGTGTGCTTAGCTGCCTATACTTCCAATATACCTGTGGAAATATAAGCAGCATGGCTTTCCTGCTGGTAAGTAAACTAAACAGTAACACGCTTGGCTACCTCACAGTCTTTTATCTGGATATCTGCTCAGTTTCCACATGCGTGTGAACACAAACACACCCAAATATTTCTGATTTTCAGAGGGATACATTAAACAGGCCCAAATTTACATGATTGATTGTGTTTAGTCGGTGGCTTTTGGGAGCCAGACATAGATGCCATGTGAATTTAAGCAAACCCCATAGTTTTATTTTTTTCCTTTGAGTGTCTATAGTGTTTTTTCTATTTTATTTTTGGAGCAGGGAGGGCAAGTGTGAATTGTCAAAGGATTCAAAACGAGCAAAGGAAAATATTCTGAGCGCTCATTTTTATTAACGGAAAAAAGCAGCTCATCCAAGTTTGCTGTGTGTGGCTCAGCCCCCAGAGACCTGTGATTTGTGAAGAGCACATGAAAAGAGAGCCACAGATAGCGGGTGCAGTGTGATGGAAGGAATGAGCATAGTGAACATTTAAGCCCAAAGCCACCTCTGGGTTGTGTGTGGCGTGTTTGCCACTGTTCTCGTTCGCCAGAATCAATAAACACTAACGATGGTTGGAAATAATTTTTTTCCCCTAGACCACATTCCATCTCACTAAGTGGTGACAATATCCCTCCCTGAATGTTGCGAGTTTCCGCTCAATGTGCTTTTCTCATCCAAGCACAAGTTCAGTCTAACAAGGGGGAGAGGCCGACGTCTATCTGTCCTGCATATCCCAGGAAAACAGGGTGCAGGTGCGCTAGACATTACATCACCTCTGTACATACACATGCACAGTCTTAAAGATGGGCATGCAAAGTCTCTAACATCTTGATGACTCAGCCAAGGCGTTAACAGAATATGTGTCTCTGACAGATCTACATAAGAGCCAGAAACGTCTTCTACAGCTAAATTGAATTTCATGAAGAATTTTTTAACCAGATTCCTCGATGATGATCCTCTAAAGTCTATCAGTGACTAGGAAGGATAAATAAAACTTTAAGGTACAAGATGTGTTAATGACAAGAAAGTCTAGACCTGGACTCTTGGCTTTTAAAACGATTACTGTGACAGTTACCCATGAAAAACTGTTTAGCTGTCCCTTTGTGGTCAGTGAGGTTTTTAATGGCTTTTATGGTCACAGAGTGAAATTGGATGAACACAACTTGACACTTTCATATTGCGACATTCAGAAACTCAGAAATGTGAAATGAGAAAGGAGGAGCCTCAGGAAGAGACAACTAAAAAGACAGATATAAAAAATACGAATGAGGCAGATGACGGGAGTGAGAAAAGATGAAAATGGAACGATTAAGTGAAGGAGTGAGTTTATGGTGCAGGAGATCCAGCATCTTAAGTGACTTACCATCCGTGGTTTCCTCTCCGACCAGAGGCTGGCCCTCTCCGTGGCCATAGCCAGCAAACACAGACACCTGATAGCGTGTCTCCGGGGTGAGGCCGTCCAGAACTGTGGCGGTGGTGTCTCCTGCTATTGTCTTCTCCCCGGCCTCCTCGGTGAACAGAGACTTCCACCTGATCCGGTAATGACGAACGTTGCCGGGAGCCGCTACCCAAGACACGGCAAAACTGGTGTCTGTGACGTCTTTGGTCACCAAGTCTCTGGGTGAACCGAGCTCTGTGGATAAATACAAAGGAAAAACATTAGCAGAAGTAGAGGTCTTAAATCTGCCATACAAACTGGATACAGAAAGTTGGTAGTGTTGCAGGTTTAATCTAGTTTCCCTAAACAAATTTCTCAGGATTTTCTTTGTTTTGATTTATTGCAATGGATAATAGTTGAACTAAGATGGTGGTGTTAGTGCTGAACTACAAAAATAACCCAACCCCTCCCCAGCTCAGCGAGGGATTTATCCAGGTGGTGTTGATTTATTATGCGGATATAGAAATATTGTAGGTTGGAGGAACACAAGGGTGGGCAAATTGAACGAACCCCAGCGATAAGCCACCAACAGTTACTCATCCCTAACCCCTCAGGATCTGTTTCAACAACCTGATTCTCTCCCTTCTTGATCAGAAACCGCTGGAAAAATATCTGCAAAACTAATCACAAATCGCATATCCACCCCAGTGCCTCTCCCAGCAGCACTTTAATTTTCCATTGAAACAGAGGAAACCAGAGCCACGAAAGTGTGCTTGCTACAAATGCAGATGGTGCGCTCCCTCTCTCCTTTCCCTCCTTCTCTCACTTTTCCTGATAGATCGTCATGAAAGGAGACAGGCATAAAATATAGGGTGGAGGGGGATTTTGCGGTGGTGTTTCGTATAGAGCAGCCAGCACATGCTTGGCTGAGAGGGATGCCCATGTTGAGATGGACTCCCAACCGTCTGGCTGCCATATAGAGGAGCTGTATCCACCACAGAAAGATGGGCTGCGCCGCACGTATCCTCCTACACAACCACTGAGATTGTGATCCTTGCTCGAGCCCCTCAGGCCCTACATGCCAGCACCTAATGACAAAATAATCACAGGCTGAGCGGAGCGGAGCGGCTGGGTGGTCTCTGTCAAACCCTATTAATATGACTGAGGTTTGACAGATATAAGTAATTTCTTTCTTTTTTTTTTAAAGCCAAATGCAGAGATTGAGATGCACCACAAATCTTCCACAAGTCCCACAGATGATTGTTCGGAAAATTTAAGAGAAGTCTGAGCACAAAAGGCAGCCACTGTGTCCATCTGTCACCCTGTGAGTCCGCATCAGCATCAGTCCATCACAGAGGAACTGGAAACTCATCTGAACAGAAATCAGAGCAGCAGCCGGCCAAGCAGAGCAGACTGATCCTTCAGAGCAAAGGCCAGATAGGAAGAGTGATGGCCGCGAAATCAGACTGATGAAGAGTTCCAGATATTGGAGCACCATGAAAACAGTGAGGACCACTAATAAATACCCAGATCATTCTGTTTAAAAGGTTCTAACTGCCAACTGCACAGGATGAACTTGATTGACTTTTACAACTGTGTGAGAACCAAGGACAAAAGGATCAGAAGAAAATGACTTCTGCAGGCACTGGCTCCCTTTTCATCAATGCCTGCAGACGAAAGCTTGCATGTAGTATATTTATCTTCCCATTATCTATGCCGCTTATCCTTTGAGGGTCGCGGGGGAAGTTGGACCCAATCCCACCATTCCCTTGAATGAGAGGCGGGGAACACCCTGGACAGGCCACCAGCGTATAGCAGTGCAAACAACCTTTCACACTCACATTCATACCCTCATTCAATATAGAGTCTACAATTAACCTAACCCCTCCAACTGCATGTCTTTGGATTGTGGGAGGAAGCTGGAAACCCAAGTGTCCCCAGGGAGAACAAGCAAACTCTACATGGAGAGACCCCGGCTGCACCTGGAGCCTTCTTGCTTTGAGGCAACAGTGCTAACCACTGAACCACCGTAATGCCCCCATGTACTATGTGCATAAGGAAAATACAAAAATAAAATTGCTGAATCTCCTTGTCTAAGTTTATTTCTCAAGGACCCCTTAACTGCATCTGCGCTTCAAGGAGAGGGCCACTCTCAAATTAAGACCTTGGATTAGGCCTGATCACAAATTCACACGAAAGCCTCGCCCATGTCTTGAGAAAACCACATATGACACAACTGAAAATCATCAAGGAGATTTAGTGCAGAGCATGTGCTGACATAACATACAGGTCTGCAGCCGAAGATGCCTGAAGCCTTATTTGGATCTCAGTACGAAAATGCTGAATTTAAAAAGTGAGGTTTACCCGGGTTTATTCAGGTTTTATTCTGTAAACCCCCAAATCACTGCAGGAAATGCACTGCTCACTCAAACTGCCATCTCAGCACTGGCATCCCACTTCAGTTTTCCCTTACTGTATTGCTCTTGGTTCTAATACTGTACATCTGAGCCACAAAAATGAAGCCTTCAGTGTCTCCATGCCAGGGTTGCCCATCTCTGGCTTTTTACCTCAGAAGACCTTCAGAGCCAAGGAGAAAAAAATAGTCTGGCAGTAGCACTGAGGGAGCCTGGCACAGCTTAAAAGTTCGCAAATGCATGACTTTGAGAGGAAATCAAACCAAGATGCTACATTTTCACCTGGTGTTGTGCTGCTCTGCGAGTTAGACAGTAAAAAAAAAAAGACTAGGTGCCTCTGGCACATGGGAAAACATTTGCAGTGCAATTTAAGTAATTAGTTATTAGAGAGATGGGTACAATGGCTCCTTCGGGGGGATTGGTTCATTGGCTGAGCTTCACTCGCCAAGCCACCCTGCGGCAACCCAGTTCACATTTTTAAAAGGCCTTTTTTTTCTATTCGTCCTCACCCTCTCTCTGCCTCTGCCTGTCCTCTGCCCCACCCTGGAGGAAGACAACCAGACAGCTCTCCCGAGCCCAGACAGACAGCTCACAAGCCTTTTCAAGGTCCTCGTTGGTAACATCTTCCACATGTCGGATAAAACGGCTTCTTCCTAAGTAAATAACTTTGGCTATGTTTGTGTATAATATTGGGATGTTCATCCAAGCATTCACCATAACACCTTCTCTGTCCTCCTTCTGAGTCATTTCAGGATGTTTTAATCCTGTCCCACTCAATGCTTCTGGACTGGCGACCATCCACCACCATAGCCACAACGGAGGGCTTTGTGTGAGCCACTGTCTACTGGTTCTCGCCTACATGGACTTCACGGGGGGGGGGTCACTCAACATGAGTGGCACTCTAAACAATGAGATCAGTGTTGAAGCCTGCTGATGTCATGACAGATTGACAGAGCTGGCTAAACAAAGTGCTTTGTCATGGAGCTTCTTTTTTTCCTGCGGGGGTGTGTCGCCGATGACAGCACAGAGTTGACCAGCGGAAATTAACTGTGTAATCATACCCAAGCCCTTTGGTCAATGTGGGAAAAGAAAATCCCTTTCTTTCAGATACTCGCACTCATCAAAATGTAAACAAAGATACATTGTACTGGTTGTGAGTTGAAATTTAAAATTTCGTCAATTCTAAAGTACACAGTATGATGTCCTAAATGTCCTATTATGCAACCTAGAGCACAGGTCCATGTGGTCAGCAATAAATCGTTGAATAGGAACACACTGTCTCTACTCATTCTTCTCAACACACATTATGATGAATAGAAAGTCTATGGATGGGTCTGTGGCTTCAAACTGCTTTCAGAAAGGAGTCCAATTCAAGGCCAGCTAAGACTGCAACTGTGCTGTTTCTATCTTGGCGCACAAAAAGATAAATAAAACACGGTAACTGACTGATTTTTAAGACAATAGAGAGGTCATAACTAATACCCTCCAAGCTTAATGTGTCCTCGATGCCTTTGGATGGACTGGACACAATACAAAATGTCCACGTATGTTTTGGCCTCTTTAGACTCATCTGACCCCCATTCTAATGGAGAGTCAGATTCAGAGGCAGATCATATTGGGTGAAACTCCCACCTTATAATTAATTGCCTACATAAGTGAACTCTTTTTATTTCACACAAAATGTACTGGTTTTGCAGCCACGAGTGGAGTTGACAATTATTTACATAATAATTATTACCCCACATGTCTTATAAACCACTCTAAAACTACAAATCATATGTCCCAAGCGGGCCAAGATGTAAAGCTCTTACTAGGCAGGCATATGGACATCTGTTCCAAGCTATTCCATGCTTTTCCAAGTTTACAAGCATCCCCCACCCATTTCGACCTCACTGCCTTCATGGGCAGTAGAACCACCCTAACCTACAATCTCTGCCAAAAAAAATTACATTAAGTGCCTCATTCCTGTCTTTTCCCTTCTAACATCCCATATTCTCGACCAAGCTCGCAAAGTAATTCTGATGTAGTCGCCTTTGAGAAATACCAGACACTACATTCTTCTAAGGACTTAGTGGGAGACAAATGACCTAATTTCAGCCGTTTTACACCATGCAGCACTTAAAATCATAAATACTAATCAATGGCAAAGTTTCCCTAAACATACATGCCTAAATCTCTGAGGTTTCTTGGCGCTTGAAAAGAAGCTGAACACAATAATACATTTGTCTATTCAGATGTTCCACTTACTGAGCCCACAGCCATAAAGCATGCTTCACACTTTTGTCACACATCATGCTTCAAAGGTTCCAAGTTACACATTAGCACTGTGACTTTCTCCCCTACCTTCTAAGGTTGTTCCAGTGCCAAGAAGAGGATCGCCCAAACCAGAAGAGTAGCGAGCGCTGACGAACAGCTCATATTCAGTGGCCGGTTGGAGGTTCTTCAGCATAGCCTGGGTAGTATCTCCTTTGACAGATATCTCTTTCCTCTCGCCCCCATCAGCAGGTTTGAAGGCGATGCGGTACTGAAGGACATTTCCTGGAGCAGCCTGCCAAGCCAGCCTCATTGTAGATATGGTCTCATTAAAAACACGGAGGTCACGAGGAGAGCCACGGACTGAGGAGAAACAAAAACTGATCAGACACAAGTTTCACATGATTGTTCAGCACTTGCTGTAAACAAATGATTTCAAAACCAGAAGCTTTTCTGACTCACCTTCCTTAGTGGTACCATCCACTTGCATCTCGTCCCCTACACCAGCAGCATACTCAGCAGCCACGGACACACGGTAGGTGGTGATGGGGAAAAGCTCCTGGAGGACTATGGTTGTCTCTGGTCCAATGGTCTGCGCCTGCAGAGCCTCCCCACCACCACTCAGTGGAACGTAGGTGAGGTGGTACCTGATCACTGATCCCGGCGCACTTATCCAAGACACCCTAAAACTGTTTGTTGTCTCTTCTGAAACTCGTAGATTTCGTACTGTCCCTTGCTCTAAAAATAAAATCATATTACAGTTGTTAATATTCTTGTTTTGATTATTTCAGCTATATCAGGTAAAAGCAGAGTAAATCTCTCATACCTGGAAGAGTGGTCTCTTCGCCAGTCAAAGGAAAACTGTCTCCTTTTTCATACTGGGCGAAGACGTTGACTTCGTAGGCAGTGACAGGATAAAGGTGGGGAAGAACGGCCGTGGTGGTGTCACCAGGCACTGCCATGGAAATGTAGTCTCCTGTGACATCCTCAGCCTTACGGAAACGGACCAAGTAAGACAAGACATTGGTAGTAGGGGCTGTCCAAGTGGTACGGAAGCTTCTGGAGGTGATTTCAGAGAAACCCAAATCTCTGGGTGGAAGCAAACCTGAAAAATAAAAACGTATTAAATATGCAGTGTATAGACCCTAATCTTATGCAAGTCACTCTGCAAGTCACTCTACCATAATCATATTGTGCTATAAATCTACTCCTACTACTACTGTAGCTGACTAGTATTCGCATTCCTCTCTTTCCATAGCCTCGGACGTGGGCATGGCCTTCAATTAATGGAAAAAAGTATTGTTGCAGATGGCAGTTTGAAAAAAATATTTTCAATCAGGCACAGAATGGTACACTTAGTAATTGGTGTGTGTTTTGGGACTACAAGTATGAATAAGCAGTGTGATGGGAGTTTACCACTGTGTGGGACCACAGCTCCATTCTCTCTCAGAGCTGATGGGGGGGCTTCTGAGTCATAATCATAGTAAAGTTAAAAAAAAACACAGCTTTTCTATTCACTGCTGTTTTTTGGAACTGTAAGTGATAACAAATGGTGTGATAGTAATCATTCCAATAGCATGCTTGTGGTTTTGTGGTATGTTTACTTGTGGGGGGAATTGATTAAATTTTGCTGGTGCCTTGCCTGAAAGCAATTTACACTGAATTATAATGCTGTGTTTTACTTTTTTCTTGATTGCATTGGCTCTTCGCCACCAACAGACAGCCAAATGGTGCAGTTTCTAATAAGGACAGTATTGACTGACATGGAGCTACATACAAACTTAGCAAATGGCAGTCATCCAAAATATATGTCAAGAAGTTATTGGCATATCATGTGGCTGGTAACACTTAGCATGTTAAGAGTTTCCATCCTCATTCTTACTTCTCTTTTTGATGTTGAGTAGCTCCTGTTCAATCCTCAGACAGATGGACTGAGTCAGCTCCTTGGAAATCCTCTGGAAGGCATCAAAGTCCTCCACCTCAAAGACGTGAGATTCTGATGGGGGATTAGCAATGGCCTCCAACTCAGACCTCACTGCATCCTTCACACCGACGGCAAAGATCTCCACATCGATATTCCTCAGGTTGGTGGCCGCATCCTTAAAAGAGTCTGATGACTTTCCGTCTGTGATCAGGACCATGACACGGGGAACATTTTGCCTTGCACCACGCGCAGGGATAAAGATCTTCTCCCTGACGTAGGTCATGGCCTTGCCGGTGTTAGTGGAGCCTCCGCGGTAGGGGAAGGCACGCACAGCTTTCACAACTGTGCTTATGTGATGGTGGGTGTTGAGGGCGAACTCAGTGTGTGGATCGCGACTGTACTGGACCAAGCTAAGCTGGACCTTGTTGGGGCCAATGTCAAAGGAGTTGACCAGAACCTCCAAGAAGGCACGAACTTTGGCAAAGTTTTGTAATCCAATACTGTATGAACCATCAACAAGAAGGACCACATCGGCCTGCACATCTACTCCCAGGGAGCACTCTACAAGAAATACAAGAAAGCGTGGGTTAATTAAAGGCTTTGTATGGCTTACATAATGAAACAAGGTGACTGAAGTACTTCAAGTAAATCTAACCTAAGAATCGATAAGAAATGACCACTTCATCTTACCTGTTGACACCTTGACAGGTTGGGTCTTTTCCATCGCCATGATGGGTTCACTGGGAGTCAGACCTTTTAGGGCGTACAAGTTGATCTCATACTCAGTGTCTGCAGAAAGGTCACGGACGTTGATGGATGTCTGAGTTGATCCTATGTACAGTTCCTGGCGTTTCAATCCAGGTAACATGGGGCTGAGTGTGAGCTTGTAGCCTGTGACTTCACCCAGGGAGGGATCCCACGTCACTCTCATTGACTTAGACGCAATTTCTGTGACTTGAAGATTCGCGGCTGGCTCCACCACTGAGAGGAAAATGACAAAATATTTATATAATATATATATATATATATATATAATTGGTTGGATAAGATAAAAACTACAGTAGGAGCATTTCATGGAAAAACTCCATATATTGTAACACACGTTCAATGAAGATCATTTGACTCACTTTCTTCTCCGCTGAGAGCTGAACTGAGCTGGTCGTCGACGCCGGAGCACACCTCTTTGATGATCTTTTTCTGCACCTCTTGGATCAGGTCAAAGTTGGGAACATTGTACACATGTTTGTTGTGAGGTGTGGAGGCCATTTCCCTGAGCTCATCCTCATCTGCTCCTTTGATACCTGAGTGGGAAAATGTAAAGTACAACAATGTCAACTTACTTTTTATAGAACTTTTTTTCTTTTTGTTTCATTTCACCGTCTGCATCACAGATGTGGAGGACCATTGACAGACAGTTTTAGAGCATTGTGTATGATAGATAAAACAAAAGTTCCTCACTTTTAAATATCTCACAGAGAACAATCAGTGGAAAATCAAATGGCTGCCAAGGACAGGCTGACTTTCACATGGTGGAGCACAGTTCAAGAAAACACTGAATAATAAACCATACCTAGGACAAATATTTCCACTCCGATGTTCCTAAGTCTTTTAGCATGCTCCTCCACTGAGTCCTGGGATTTTCCATCGGTGATGATCATGGCTACCTTTGGAAAAGCTTTTCTTGATCCAGCTGCCTCCGTGAAGATGTTCCTCAGCAGGTAATCTATGGCATCCCCTGAAGACAGAAATGTTTGTGTTTTAAAAGAGATACTGCACAATTAATTTGTTTTTATTTCAGTTGTAAACTAAATTATATGACTGTCCTCTGTTAAAATACATCAATATGTTACAATCATGTTACCAAATTGATTTGAAAAGATCTACATTTATGGGTTGAACATGGCTTATAATGCAACCTAATGTTTCGAACCATCTTGGACCTTGTAGGTCCAACGCTTACGTAGGTAGAGTCAACCATTTGGGACGTCATGATGTCATTTATAGTTAAACAACTTTAAGGTAATATCAAGCGCCTTACCTGTCATTGTATTTCCTCCCTTGTAGGGCAGGGAGCTGATGGCTTGCAGAAGGTCACCTCTCCTGGTGTAACGGGTGAGGGGGAACTCTGTGCGGGTGTCTGTGCTGTACTGGACCACACCCACCCGTGTCTTGTCCTCGCCAATGTCGAAAGCCCCAGCCAGGGCGCCGATGAAGCTGCGGATGTGCTTAAAGTTTTCCCTGCCAACGCTCCATGAGCCGTCCACCAGAAAAACCAAATCTGCTATTGCACTGACCGAGCACTCTGCAAAACAGATATTGATATTGGAGAAATTAGATAGTCAGTCAGAAGAAGCCAATAGAAGCATTTAGAAGTTATGCAACACATTTTGACTGATTTAGATTAGGAACAGTTTGGGTTTTCCTAACGTGCACATCCCTCATGGCTCAAGTTAATAGGACTTTCAAGCCAGAAATGTGCCACTTAAGGTATAGCAGCAATAGCTCGATCTTGGAACAATATTTTCACGCTGGTCCATATCTTCTCCTGTCTGTTTGAATGAAATCAGATCCTTGACAGATGGATATGCATTCTGACATCAAAGATAACATCAACCAGTGCCAAAGAAATCGAGCTGTAAAGCCATTCCAACAGTCAAAAATGTGGCTTTATAGACTTGTAAAGTTCACTTTTATACTTTCAAACCGTATGGAGCTTTATATCGCAGATACAATTCTATGAAACATTTAAGATTCTAACTCTGTTGAAATAATTGGCTAGGCCTATACGGATGTATTTTGATTCCTGTTGGTCTCATTAACTCACATCTCAGCCTAAAAAAGGAGTCTTTGTTTCCTAACTTTCCCTGGGATAATAAATATGGCCTCCAAGCAGAGGAAGGGAGGTTCCAGGGCCCTATCATCAGATGAGTGATCATGTCCTCCTGTCAATGACTACAGATAAGTCTCATGACATGAGCTGAGGACAGTTTGAAAAGGAGACACCTGACTTTGCCACATGTTTTGACAGATTAAGGTCTGTGGACCGCCAGGGGTCCAGGGCACACTGCCAGGGGTCCTTGAAAAAATGTATCTGTTAAAACTATCATGATATATGGATCTTCTGTCCTCATTCTCATGTCTTTCTAAGTCTCATGTTGTTGCTTGGTAGATGTGTAAAGCAAGTAGGCTATGTCAAGGTATTCTAAGGGTCATCCATGTGGGGGTCTCAGGAATGTTTTCTTGGCTTAGAAAAAAATTGAGAACCTATGGTTTAAGGGACAGAACTTGTGTCTATAAGTGGCACAATGAAGATGTTAATGCCTGGAAACCCACCCTCCTGTTCCCCTCTTCTCTGTGACGCATAACAGAACCCCTGTCTCCATATGTTTTCTTGGTGTTCCAGATGGTTTCAATTAAAAGAGCTTGACGTGTGACTTCCCAGTCACTGTCACAACCCTGCCTGCTCACCATGTGACCACCCCGACAGAAGGGAAATTATCCACTCTAAAAATATTATTCCAAAATATGAGGGGAAAGAAATATATATTTAAAAAAATAGGAAAGCCGTCTCTGTTCAGATTTGGGTTGACACCACAGTAAACATACTCACTGAGGGCATCTGACTGTGGCTTCCTGACTCGTGTGCTGGTGTTACTGGACTGGACTGAAACACAGGAAACACTTGGTGAGTTTGCACATTCATACATTGACACTCACTGTGTGCTTTTTCACAGCGGAAAGGGGGGGAAGAAAATTAACACTTCGTAAAGGGATCAAAAACACATGCACACAACAACACATTTCTTTATGCTGCATTAGCTGTGAACTGAGCAATTGAAGAGACCGTAAACAGACTCTTTCCTCCCAAAGAAAATAACTTAAAATTCCATATAGTTAATTTTTTTCAAGAATTACCTACATTGACCTAATGTGAAGTTTGTACTTACTGGTCAGTTGCCCAAAGATGGGAATACTCTCTTCTGACCCATAAAATGAGATAATGGACACAGAGTAGTCCAGATCAGGGGTCAGGTCAGTGATTGAGGTTTTAGTGGCATAGGCATCGAGGGTAAAGTCTCTTGATGGTTCATCTGGGAGAAGAAATCAAGTGGTACATCAGCTCTCGGGTTGCAGCATGTGTATTTTCTGTGTGCATATATGTATATATTTATACAGTGTACATCGACTCCATACTAACCTGCATCAGACACAACTTGTATTCTGAAGCCCTGTATCCTTGACGAGGGTCTCACCCATGACATATCCACTGTGTTTTCATTTAGAATTTTAAATTTCAAGTCTGAGGGAGGTTCCACTGCAATGAAGAGATGACACAGCGTTATATCACAACAAACGTGATGCTTGTGTATAGTGATGATTCTATATGTCGTGATCAAATCAAACAGTTTTAAATCAAGCATTCACATTGATCCCAACGACAAACACTTCAGGACTGAAGTGGACTTTGTTCGTTGTTGGGGACAGACACACAACACCGACGCCCATTTGTGAGGATGACAGAGTAGAAAAACACACGTAACAACATAAAAATAACAAATAAAACTGGGTGAGAAGCCATTTTGGAACAAAATGACATTTGTTTGAGTTGCCCGACCAAGATTGGCCAGCAACTCAAGCACCGGCATACACGTTGTGTGTGTGTATGCCGACATGTGCACGACTCCATACAAACTAACCAAACCAAAGTGCAAACACTGAGTAAACCATCCAACACATGCTGAGTGCAGTCATTACAACGCATGCTCCAACCACACACACTAAACTGCTTTCATGATGGAGCTGTTCTCAGAATTAAAAAACACAACACATACTTCATTCTTCAGTCACTGATTATACAATGGAATCAAGGTTGCCATGTAGTTGTTGAAGTAACACTTGAAATAATTGAACACCATATGTTATATATACGTTGTATATAAACATATTTCGGAGACAAAAAAAGTGTTTTTGAAGCTTATTTGGCTGAGACACATGTGAGTGGCACACATCCATTGCAAACCTTTTAAAAAGAATACACAATTTGTCACCTTAGACTCTTGTGTACTTTTTCATTGGCAGCATAATGCAAAAGAAGGTATGAGAGATCAATATTTCTCCAGATGTGCTATAATAGAGGAAGTGTGTACCTTACGATAAACACAAGAAAAACATAAACAGTGTGACAAGACCACACGGCTTCACGCCGAGCTGACGTGATCGCAGCGTCATGCATCATGTACATGAGAAAGTTGTTTGGTATAACAACTTTGATTGACTGGACAGTAGTTTCCATGTACAGTTGGGACCACACAGACAGAGATGACAAACATATTTTAAAATGATATTCTTTCTGGCTCAAAGCTTCAGCAGCTGGGAGCTCATGTTAGTTAGCGGAAAGTGTGTTAGCATTTAGCACTATATTTACACTACTTTACATGCATGAAAGTCACATCGAAGTGACTCTAAAAGTGCTAAATTAAGTTTTTCTTAAATAATCTGCTGTCATATGCACAGTTTAACAATTCAACTAAATTCTTGATATTTTACATGCAATTCTGCTGAAAAAAAATTAATTCAAACTGATAAAATTGCAGTGGTGGATCTAGGATTTATCTAAATCAGGAGCCATAAAGGGGCCACAATTTACACAGAGGGGCCAATTATATATCCAACATTCCTGCATAATTCCTGATTCAGTCATTCATGGAAAAGCCACACCTAACTGAATTGATGAAATTGAAAGTTTTTTATTTTCAAGCATATTGTGTACTATCATCGAAAAATAAATATTTGTAACAATTTATCATATTTATTATTATTATTGTTGTTGTTCTTTTAGTTTTTTTAAAGACTACTCTAAGGACAAGGGCACCTCAGGGGCCAATCAGATCTCAGCTGGGGCTAGTGCCCCCCTGGTCCTGTACCTAGATCCGCCCCTGGAAAATTGGTGTTTGAGGACAAAAATTGTCCTGAAAAGCAAAAGTAGTGAGGAAGCAGTAAATTAATTTAGTTAAGTGAGAATGTTATAGCCGTGAATGATATTAGCTGCTGAATGATGTTATCTGCACTGACTTAAACACTAGGAGGTTAATCCACAGTGGCACCAGGAGTACCAGTCCATGCAGGAGATGTGTGAGCATAGAGCATTGGCTGTAAAGTAGAAGGAGAAAAGCAGTGGGAGTGAAGGAATATCATTGTAAAATACACTTCGGAGGATGAAGCCACAGCTTTGGACACACTGAATGCACAGGCAGATGACAACTTAAAATAACTGAATAATTGAAAACACTGGGATTTGGAGGATCACCAACCTGGCATATCAACTCGATGGACCGTGTTCCCCCTGAACTCTTCTTTAGTACTCATCTCCAACACCAAATGGTAAGGTGTGTGTGTGTGTGTGTGTGTGTGTGTGTGTGTGTGTGTGGTTTAATTTGTTATCATTTCCTTGACCACATGTGCTTCTGGTTTTAAAAGATTCCGAGGAACAAAGGAGGTTTTTGTCAAAAAAAAAGAAGAAGAAAGATATATATGGATAAAACTATCTGGTTTGATATTTGGATCTTGTGGTTGCTATTGTTATACAAATGTCTGTCCATCAGGACATAATAAAGGTCCCTCCGGGCTCCGAGGGGCCAGACTCTGAATACTGTTCTGTTAGTAACCTCTGTCTTCATCCAGCCAGCTCTCCTGGCCTGCAGCTCCTGCCAGGAGGAGAGACCAAAACGGAGGAGGAAAGAGCTCCGACTTTCCCAAAAGAGGCAGGACAGATGCCAAAGTAATTCCACAACATGTGCTGACATTAAACATTACTACATATTAACTTTCCATATGTATTGCAACTCAGCATTTTGGTGGGTGCCCGCAAAGAAGCCCGAGAAAGGCTCTTTGTCTTCGGGCTGTCTGAGGATTAATTTGCTCTTCTCGTATTTCATCTTTCCATTCGGTTAGTGGAGATATGTGAGAATTGACGTTCGACTCCTCTCGCCCGGCCAAGGAGCTTTCAAAGGGGGGGGGGGGTGTCAGAAGGTTTCCATACAATATTTCCATAATTGTCATTATCCGGACTGAAATGTTTGCATATGAAATTACTTTGAGTCATTTTCTGTCAAATCTAGTGACAGATTGTTAACAGTGTGCTGCTGGCTACTGTGACACAGAAAATGTATTTAATTACCACTAAAACAGTAACGTATGAGCACAGATCAGAGCTGGAAAGTAACACGGTTATGCAAGTAAATGTCTTTTTTAAGTTAATGCATTTTCCTAAGATGTTTCCAAGTGTTCTACCAATAAAGTTACATTATGAATCCAGTATTGAATTATGGATAAAACACTGGACCCATAATGAGACACTGTAAAAAAGGACAATTATGAACTTCAACTTTCACTTTTGATAATTATGGCAAAATAAATCTTTTTCAAGTGCCTATTGAGTACATGATTTAAATCACTGCGCTCCACTTCCACTATTGTTGCATAAGTGATTTAATGACTTGAAATACTTGGTGACTTGGTGCTGAAACCAGTAATCTACTACAAGCTCAACAGACCTGTTAAAACATTTCTGAGGGAAACATTACAGCATGAAATGAGTTTTGTTCTACTCTTAGTGTGTTTAATACATTTAATCAGATAATTGAAACGAAAAATGTTAGTGAGCTTGGTTCTCTTCTGTATTTGCCAAATGTAAATGAGATAAGTGCAGTTGTAGAAGTGGTTTAAACTATTTGAATTGCAGCTTGAATACGAGTAAAGTGGATTTGGAGTTTACATCAAAGCCTGTGACGAGATCAACCTGACGCTACAAATGAGGGATAAAGTCATGACAGTCATCAAAGAATCAAACAGCAGTCAATTCAAAAGTCACATAGTCAAATACCATACACATAACATAAGAATAATTTTATTCAGTTTATCTATACAAATGTTTCCACATGATGACTCTGACATTAAAGTAACAAACTAATCACAATGCAATCAACCAGTGGAGATAATAGGTGAAAGAAGAGAGGGAGGAGATGTAGAGACAGGGTGATGTAGTAGATATGTATGTAGGCGGAGGCCAGGTGGTTTCATTTACCTTGAGCATCTATGGAGGATAACAAGGCTGCGAGGATGGCCGCAGTGGCCAGTGACAGCCCTATCTTCATGTTTGGCCTCTGAGGGTCAGTAGCACATCAATCACTCTGAGGACAAAGAGATACAATGAGTTCGAGCTGCAGATCCGCATCTCAGTGTGGGGCCATGACCGCTAAACCACATGCACGGGACAAACACCGCAGCGTCCGGTCGGTCAGAATCACACAGAATGGACAGTTTGCCTTTAACTTAGATTACATTGTATTTACAGTATATGCAACATGCACAGTGGAGATAAACACTCTCCTGGAATGTTTTTTGAATGAGGAATCCAGATTGATGTCTCTCATTATTTCATCTTTGTTCCACCGAAATAACAAAAAGAGCAAGCTCCATCTAGACTTGCTTACACAAGGGCCACACCTTGTTGCCTCCAGCTGACGCACACACCCAAAGGTAGACACTTGTACTAACAGCTGTTGGACTTAAATAGGGAGAAAAAAACTCTTTCATCTGCTTCAACTTAAATGGAGAGCCAGTGTTTTCTAGCTTTTCTTTAACTGCAAGGCTTTTATGAATGTTTGACATATACTGTATTTGACTTGGTGTGTCACTTCATTTTAATACCATCTCTTTTGAGAATTGGCTATTGTTTTGTTTGTTGTACATTTTGAATCTCTATTTTTCTTTATGTTAAGCACTTTGCCTCTTAAGGATAAAGTTTATTTTCACAAAGTTAACTATCACACTGAAGCTCACTGTCATTATCTATGGTTCACTCTCACTTTAGCCCTATAGGGATGGAGTCTGCATGAAAAACTGTGATATCACTTCATGCATCTGAATGTATGAAATATATTGGGACGCCCTCACCGCAGCCTCTTCAGTAAAAATGTATTCACTTGTGTGCAGCATATCATAAAAAATATAATTCGACATGTATTTCTTTTTTACTTGGTCAAATTTTTTTTAGTAAATTACAAATAAGTTAAAAAAAAAACAATTTGAGGGGTCTTTTAGCTTTAAATGTTAAACTGAACTCTAGTCTGATCTCAGCTTCTCTAACCTTTAACCACAGGCTTTGCGCCCCGCCTGGTGCATAAACAAGAAAACTGCAGCGGCAGAAGCCTAAAGAAATCGGTAAGGGACTAATAAGACCTATTTAAAAATTACTACATTACACATAAATTCCAGCTTGTACACAACATTACTTACATGATTCTAAATTGTTTCTGAAGCATATTTTAAACCGATGGCTTCTCTCTCTTCTTGATTTATTATTCAATCTACTTCTGTGAAATGACTGTGTCAAAAAAAGATTGTTGAAAAGTTATAGAGTTGATGTTAAATTACACATTTAAAGTCCATATATATATATAATTATTGCAAAATGCACTGCGGCACAAATCTGACAAAAAAAGTTAGAAAAAAAATCTCCCAAATTTAGTACAAAAATGATAAAATCACAAATTTCTTCTCTTTAAAAATGCCACAGTAACTCGTAATTTTCAGTGAATGAAAAGTTAGTCTACTCACCAATTAAACCCCCCCTGACAAAAACCATGAACACACAAAATGTTGAGAGCAGCCTGTTTGAAGCCTCCTCCTGTGAGAGTGAGTAACAGACTGAGGCAAAACCCAGGTCTCCTCTCCTCTGTGTCTGAGGCTGCTGGGAAGTTCCGCCAGCAGATGTCCGACAAGGAAAAGCCTCCAAGTGGGAAGAATCTTTCCACCACCAGCTACTTAACAAGGGGGGCAGTTCCCAGCTCTCAATTTACCATGGATGGGCTTCCTACGAAACCTGCCTGTCACTAAGTGCCCCCCCCCCCCCTTCAAATACTTACCCACTGTTTGGAAACTTTACTTTTTCTTTCCTCTTGCACTCCTCTGGTGGATCGAAAGAGTTTCCAGTGTGACTTCACAGCAGTGGGCACAGACAACACTGACAGGAGGAAGTGTTTCATATGTGCAACAGGCAGCTTTAAATTTATATGTATTACTGTTCATTTCAACTGGAATAAAAGTTCAATATTTGGATTTGTAAACTGAAATTACCTAGTGTAATCTTAGAGCATGTTTATTCTCTCTGGAAAGAGTTTAAATACTTAAATTCACAATAACAGAGTAGTCATGTGAAACCATTTACTTCACGTTTGTTTATCATGAACTTTTGTTGGGATATGAAAAAGGATTTCAGCAGCAGATTTATCTTGCTCCTCACAACCACAGCTCCTGACTGACTGGTTTCTACTGCTCCCTGATGGTCACAGTTCAGACCTACACTATATACATGTTGAGGATGGTGACAGAGATCGGATCTAACCTGGTTCAAATCACATCAGTAAGAAAACGCACTAGTCTCCCACTAAACTCAAACTCTGGGTATAGACTAAAAAACAGATCAACTCCATATAAAGCAACATTTACCAAACATCTATAGCAGGAATCAGGTTTTTAAAAAATGTCACAACTTAATGAGATGTGTTTCTATTTGTATTTGCAGCTCATTATTTGTTCTATCAATAAATAACAATTTATTATCATTGATAGGACAAATACTTTCCCAAAGTACAAGCAGAGAGTTGATGAAATAGCATCTTGCACAAATATAATAATAATAATAATAAAGTCTTATTGAACAGTCCTGTTTAACTGTGTCTTCCCGGACTCTGCAGCAGTTAACAGCTCATTGCCCCTCCGTGAAGACATCAACTATAACAGATGGGTCCAAGACAGAGCTGCAGGCCAATGACCATGACTTTAAACTATTTCTTTATGATTCGTCATCACTTTTATTCATTTTCAGTAATAGCATTAGGGACAAGAATGTGTTTTATCCAAAAAGAAAAAAATAAACAGACATCTGACTCATCAAATCTCACATGAATGCTGGAATACCAAACACACTGAGAGTCACTGTGACTTTGTAGAGACTTTTAGATTAAAGTGTGATGGCGGATACACATGGGTATTCATTGACATGAAATTGGAAAAGTTTCCGACTGTTAAGCTCAAACTGAAATAAATATAGACTTTATATAAAAAGGGAAATAAACCAGTTTAGAGTGATAAAACAATAGCTCCATGTTTGATTGACAAAATAGTGACATCTTCTGGCCAATCATCTGCATTGCACTTTAACCAAATGATAGAACAAAAGACAGTGAGCCAAAGAGATCAACTCCCTTCTGTCATGTTCGATATTATTCAGTGTGGTTTATCTTACAAAATTTGGAATGCATGCACAACCAGAAATATATGCAGAATCTTGGCCTCTTGAGGAATTTTGATTCATTATTTATGTCTTATTTGATAATAAATAGATTAATGATAAAAGCAGCAGTAGGGAGGTGGTGGCTGATGTGCAAAAAAGAATCACAAATGACACCAGCGCATTTAACAAGTTGTTTAATTGGACCCTATAAACCTTATAAAAACGAATAACTGTCAATTTCAAACAGTGTACGAATCATAAACTAATCAACAACGTAACAGTGCGACAGAAGATGGAGTGAAAACAAGAGGAAAACTAACAGATGTGATACTTTTAAAGTGCATTCAGTATCATTTGGTCAACATTGGAGAACGCAGGATATTTTTACCTTTCACTTAAGTGTAAATCCAAAATAGAATGTTGTGCTCTAATCAGCCGGAGGTGCTTACAAAAGTCTTAGAAAGAAGAATACTGGATGCGTAGGGTTATAGGATCATATTTCCTTCATTAATAAGAATTAGATCATGTCTGAGTATTTTTAATGATTAAATACAGAATATGACGGGCACATTCTCTTTATACGACCAGTCACAGCAGAGGGTAGATTGGTAGGTATTAATTATAAATGTTCTCTGACCCTGCAAGGGTAAAGTGGGTCTTGTTAAACATTAATGCGTATCATAGTTACCAGCATGCGAGCAACGTTCATCCCATCCTCTATTCAAGGTCACATCAGAGGTATGTCAATGAAATATAACGGTACATTCATCAGCAGGACATATTACAGTAAATAGTAGGGACAATTACTTTAAAAATACATACATCCTTCAATAATAAAGCCATTTGCAAAGCGATGCTAAAATAGATACTTTATAGATAAATAAGAGGATAAAGAAAAAGTTGAAGACGGGCAATTGACGATTGCAGGGGCCAACTTAAAGCTAAATGCACAGAGACACAGACTCTAGCATCTTCTTTTTAAAATAAACATCCTATGTATAAAAACGGCTTTTGATAAGATGGAAGAATCTTCTGTCTTTCCAAAAACACACGGCAGACAATCACAGAGAACCAGTGTATTCACGCTAAAAAAAAAAAGATTTCAACAAGCAGTCCTGAACAGACCCCACAGGGTCCCACATGCAGAGAGAACCGAAGAACCGTTTAGTTTGGGATATCTGCACTGTGGTTGTGAGTGTCATATTTATGGTGGATGATGAGCAGAACCACACCGAGGAAGAAGCAGATGGAGCCCACCGTGATGTAGGCGATACCCAGGAAAGGGTTCTTTCCCCCCATCCAGGAGATGGTGCTCAGGATCATTCGTTTGCGACCATCAAAGCTGGTCACAGGGTAATCTGATTACAAATGGTTAAAGAAAAACAACTGCAGCGTCTGGACTGAAAGAAATTGACAATACAGGATTTAGAAGTAATCTACAGCAAAAGCAGTAACACATTTGTAGACATTAAGAAGTTAATACTAAAGCTGAACTGGGCTGTTTCACAGCAGATGAGTCATTATCCAAACATTGCACTTGTTCTATCAGTAAACAGGAAAATCCTGTTTGCTGAACCAATCCTGTAAATACTTTCCAAATATCCAGTTAAAACGAATTTGCCATGACACGCAATTTGCTCTCATGTATTCAAATGCCCCACCACCACACGCATGAAGTCCTCGGCTGCTTCAGCTGAGTGGAAAGACATGAGCATGAAGACTTGTTGTGGATGAAGAGTAAGTCAGCAGCGTGGCGTAAAGTCGATAAACAGTCTGACTTTTAACTGTTACTTTGATGTCTGCGATGTACACTACAAAACACTTCCACAAGCCGCTTCTCAGACACTTTGGTGTCAG